GAACGCAAGGCGGTTTCGCTAGGGGAAATGATTGCGCCGGTAGCAGGAAAAATCAACTATGACTACCTAATCGGTAATTAAACTGAAATGTGATTTACTATTTCGGTAAGGGAAAATTCTAAGAGCGGTCGTAGCAAAAATTAACTATTTAGCTGTTGCATCGGTAATTAAACTAATATGTACTTTACTATTTATTCGGTAAGGAAAATTATATATATTCAGTCACACAGAATGCGAGGAGACAGATTCGTGAAAGAACTACTTCAGGACCGAAATCCGGGATCCTAAACGGGATTTACTTAAATTAGTGATTCGGAAGTAAATAAAAAAAAATTAAACTAATACCCGGGGTAGCCCATTGTACCAGAACGAGCTGATCGTCACCACGAGCCCGCTCAGACAGGGAAATTAAACTATTTAAGATTACTTAAATTTGCGATTCGCACGTAAAATGTGTCCAACACATGACTTTCCTATCTAGTTATTACAGGCTTTTTTCGTTTTTTTATTTTACAACCTATTGTAGCACCTCTGCAAATATTTAGAGGTTAACTTAATATATACATTTTCCACATACATCTAGCTTGAAACATTTTTCTATATACACTCATTGCCAACGAAAATGCTGAAAAATTTAAATTTTATACCGTTTCTCCAATTTTTCCATTATGGTCCATTTTAGAGAAATCAAAAATTATAGATATCGATATCGCAAACATCTTTTAGTTCAAACATTTTCTTAAAAATCAGAATTTTTTACATTTTGCAAAATTTCTCGAATACGGACCATTTTAGGAAAATTTTATACAGGAGAAAATTGAAATGTGGGCGTTAAAAACATATTTTTCTACACCTACAGGGATATTAGCTTATCTACGCACATATTAAAAAATCTGATGTGTCCAACACATGACTTTCCTATCTGGTTATTACAGGCTTTTTCCGGTTATTTTGTACAACCTATTGCAGCACCTCCATAAATGTTTAGGGGATAAAAAATATATACATTTTCCACATACATCTACCTCGAAACATTTTTCTATAGATGTTCATTGAAAATACTGAAAAATTTAAATTTAGCACTTTTCCTACAATTTTTCCATTATCATGTATAAACAAAAATTATAGAGATCGATATCGCAAACAACTTTTATTTCAACAATTTCATAAAAATCAGAATTTTGTACATTTTGTCAAATTTCTCGAATACGGACCATTTCAGGAAATTTTGACATAAAGCAAAAATTATAGATAATAATATTAGAAATAACTTTTATATGAACAATTTTTTTCTCCAAACATAAATAACAAATATATTCCATAAAATATAAAAACGGCCCCCTATAAAGTACCCCCCCAGATGTTCCGACTTTGTCCAAAATCTAATCATTTCACGTCAGGCCGAAATAAAACTGACTTTTAAAATTTAATGTTTTTTTTTTCTTTATCCGTTTTTGAGTTTTCTTCAAAATTCGAAATTTACACATTTTCTCAAATATCTCGAATACGGTCCATTTTAGAGAAATTATGTATAAAATAAAAATTATAGAGAAAGATATTACAAACAACTTTTATTTGAACAATTTTTACAAAAAATTAATTTTTTTACATTTTGTCAAATTTTTCGAATACCATTTTAGGAAAATTTTGTATAGAACAAAAATTATGGATAATAATATTGTACGTAACTTTTATTTAAAGAATTTTCTTCTCAAAACGTAAATAACGGATATATTTCATAAAATATAAAAATGACTACCAATAAAGTACCCCATAAATGTTCCGACTCTGCCCAAAATCTAATCAGTTCATTGGAGGCCGGAATAAAGCTTAAGTTTAAAATTTGTTGTTTTTCTTTGTATCGGTTCATGAGTTATGGTGGATACAGACACACGCACACAGACTGACACACACAGACATCATCCCGAAAATAGTCAAAACGGATTCAGGGGACCCCAAAACGTAAAAATTCGTCGAAAACTGGAGGTCGAAATAAATCATGATTCCTATACTTTCTTTATATCTGTATAGAGATAGGAAAGTAAAAATTAAATTTTAATCAAACTATATGAAACTAGTTTTAAGAAAATTTTGTATAAAACAAAAATTATAGAGAATGATATATGAAGTAACTTTTATTTGAAGAATTTTCTTCTTCAAACGTAAATAAATTTATAAAATATAAAACAGATGTTCCGAGTCTGCCCAAAATGTAATCAGTTCACGGCAGGCCGGAATTAAAGCTTAAGTTTAAAATTTGGTGTTTTTTTACATCCGTTCGTATGAGTTATCGTGGACACACATATACATACACACATACGCAGACACGCACACACACAGAGACACACACATATACGCACAAACATCATCGCGAAAATAGTCAAAACGGATTCAGGGGACCCCAAAACAATAAAAATCCGTCGAAAAAAAATCATGATTCCTATATACTTTCCTTATCTGTATACAGGGGGTCGATTCTCGACTTGTAGGAATATTTTCCTATAGGAATTTTTGACATTTTTATATACATCGAAAATTTATGACATTTTCCTACATATAGGAAAGTGTCACAAATTCCTATAGGAAAAGGTTCCTACAAGTCTAGAATCGACATCCTGATAGGAAAGTAAAAAATAAACTGACAATTAGTTTGACAGAATTAGGCATTCCAACGCAACGACCTGTCAAACAATAGGTGCCAGTGGGAAATTCTTATATATTTAAGGGGGTAGCGACATAGTCTTGCAACGTGGACACTATTTTTATTCGAAGTAGTACTCGCCAAGCCTGCCAATTTATGAAGAAATGTATAGGTGGGTTTTTTAAATATTATTTTTATTGTGTTTGACATAAAATATTTAAATGTAATCCATTATTCATGATTTTACGTAAAGTAGATAGAATACACCATATGTCGCCACCCTTAGATATACCAAACCTGTCCACTGGTAATTCATTTGTTTGGAATGCCTAATTGTCGCTTATTTAAAATTTTAAAAATAATTAGGCATTCCAACGACCTGTCAAACGATAGGTGCCAGTGGGAAATTCTTGTATATCTAAGGGGGTAGCGACATATTTTTGCAACTTGGACACTATTTTTATTCGAAGTAGTAGTCGCCAAGCCTGCCAATTTATGAAGAAATGTATAGGTGGGTTTTTTAAATATTAATTGTATTGTGTTTGACATAAAATATTTAAATGTAATCCATTATTCATGATTTTACGTAAAGTAGATAGAATACACCGTATGTCGCCACCCTTAGATATACCAAACCTTCCCACTGGCAATTCATTTGTTTGGAATGCCTAATATAGGATAGTCGGTTGATCAAAATATGAACGGCGATTGGTGGATTTCATTTTTTTTGCATTGTTCTCACTACCTAGAATGGATATGAATCATATTCGTTCAGACAATAGCACACTTTTTCGTTATGTAATAATAATAATAATAATAATACTCTCCCTAATTCACCCACTTACGAGTGAATTTCAACCCCTGAAGTCGACTGACCGACTTGTGTAGGGGAAGGGACGGTTATTATTATTATTATTTGCCGTGGCGCTCCGGGGCGACTTAAGGATGATCGATGGTACCATTTGACTTACAGGTGAGGAAAACCCGGAAAACCTCACCCACCATCATCGAGACGATAATGTATGGCGATTTTATAATCTGCATGTCATATCAACAGAAATTGAATTTCCATTAATACGGAACACATCAAATCCTAAACCGAACCATGCAATTTAATTAAAAATCCACATGGTCTGGTCTGGGATTCGAAGCCCAGCAGTCTCGGACTCATAAAATCGCCTATAAATGAATATAAGCGCGATAGACCGCTACACCATCGACCCGATAATAAGCTAATATTCGTGGTTGTAGAAAAAAATCTTTTATCATCATTTTGCAATGCTGTTATCAAAATATCTAGTTATTTGCAAATACATTTTAAAAGTTAAATTATTCAAAAACGGTTCACTCTCTCGCGTTTAAACAAAAGAATACATTCTTTGTAGAAAAAACTATGGCAATTTGTTTTTCTTGAGCAATTTTTATAAAAAAAGATAAAATTAAAAAAATTGAGGTAAGAATACACAGCCCACACCCGTAAACAAACCCTCTAAATAATATATAAATTTTTTCTTTTGATTTACTATTAAATCAAATGATAAAACTTTTCCAAGAAATTTGTAGTTGATAGTTTGCTCTGGTTGGGACCGAAAAACTGGTTTTTCCATCCCTCCTTTGAATGTATTTATATTATTATTTCAAAGTTTCGGACATTTTTTTTAATTTAACTTCATTCGTTAACCCTACAGGTATGACCATATAAATTAAATAGCGAATTACTGTTATTTCCGAAAAAACATTAAGACGTCACATAAATATTTCATCCATTATTAAAAAAAAAAATTTGACTCAAGCTCTCAAACAAAAAAAAAATAATTTCAATAACTAGGAATTTTTAAGAGGTTTACAAATAATAATACGTAAAGTAAGCGGCAATATGGAAAACTCTTCTATTATTAATTTTAGGAAAAAAACTATTATTCATAAAAAGCTCTTCATGACTTAAAAGCTAAAATTAAATCATCTGATATCACATTTTATGTTCTATATGAGGTTTGCCTTGAGCAAAATTTATATTTTTTGACGCACCTCGTATACGGCTCAACATTTTTTATATCTAATGGTTGTATTTTAGGTTTTATACCATGCACATTTTTTTATGAAGAATACATTTTTTTTTGATTAAACTAATAAATGAAAACGTTTTTCAACTTATATGTCGACACACTGTATAAGTATTAATCCACAAATAGATACAGAAAATTCTTAAGAATCAAGCACATAATTATTCTAATATGTTGTCAATTTTAATACTATTTTTTTTATGAAAAACACTCCATAATAAGGACCGTCTCGTCGTTAGATTGGTAAATCAGAATCTTCAAAAAGTTCTTATAATTAACTTTAATTTTTTACTTACTAGATATTCAATCCTCGGAACTCTTTAACTCACTCACTAAATTTCTTTGACTCTTCACTCTTCACGTTCAAAAATAATATAACCAGTAATAAATATATTGTATACCTCTATATATATTTTTGATGACATTTAAAATCTGATAATTAGGGTTCTAAATCTGTTTAATGCGGATTTAGAGAATAAGCACCTTTTAATGTTTTTCTGAGAGAGAATATTTAAGAAATAAGATTACTTTAACGAGATGTATTTTGATTGATTTAAGTATTCATTTAATGGATAAAGGATGTGGTGTTTTTGTAGGCATACAGGGTGATCAATTATTATTTATTTTAAACTTAACATTATTTATCTATAAATTCAATTATACATAGATTTATAGACAAAAGTTTTGTACATTTTTGTGAGTGGTATAGTGAGGGAAAGGTTATACAGTAATAATTTTTTTACTAGAATGTTAAAAAATTGATGTTCATGTTACAAGATATAGAATATATATTTTAGAAACTGTGCTACGTTTATACTCTTTACTAATGGGTCCAGGATTCAGTGATCAGCGGTTTATTATTATTTATCCTTTAATAACACGTTAACTACTAAGCAAAAAAACTAATTTTTTTCTGTATGGCCAGGGCGACAATACGCGTATTGGGCTTCTAATTAGCTTCCCATGCATTTAAAATAAAAATATTGTTTGTTTCTTCAATAACGTTCGGTAGCGTAAAATATTACTAGCCCGTGTTTTTGTTTGGTGTCTTGGTGTCATTTTGGTTATACTTGCTTTTAAGAGCCAACCGGACACCTCGAAAATTTATAATTCATTCTGAGCTTTTATTTTTAGTCCAATTTTTGTGAAATTTTCAAGAAATACCAATAATAACAAAACTTAGGGTGTAGAAACCTTGATTTTTTTGTAAACCGTCGCAAAGTATTTATTTTGAAAAATTTTAAAAAGAAATAAAAAAAAACATTTACGCCCCATTCATTATTAAATCTATAAGAATTTACTGCTTTTTTTTTTAAATAAATATCAAGACATAATATCACGAAGTATTCCCAATGGCACGCATATACCCAGACAACACACCAAATCCCAGAGATATCCACAGAATATCTTTTGTGGATATCCAATATATCCACAGGATATCAGAAATATTCCGTGGATCTAATATGGATATCCAAATGTCCGTCTATATCCAGAATATAGAAGATATCATATGGATATCCAGCAAAATATCTAATGAGTATCTTCCAGACAAGAAATCCCAGAGATATCCACAGAATATATTCTGTGGATATGCAATATGAATATCCAACCAAATGTCCGTCTATATCCCATGATATAGAAGAATTCGGATATTCAGCAAAATATTTTAAAGGTATCTTTAGTAGAGGTTCATAAGTAACCAATGATTATTGAATAAAGTCGAAAGAAAATAGCAGAGATAAAAAATATTTTCAACACTCTGCCTTTGATTTTGCCCACTAAGGAGAAAGTTATCCTTATTAGGACTCTCCAGCAATAAATGGAAATTCTCGACTCCAGTCTCTATAATGGAGTCTGATATTGTCAAACAAATTTCGATCGAACTCAATTACGGCTGGTTGAGCATGAGTAGATGCGAAAGTAGTATCGCCATCTATACTTAGTAAGCAAAATCAAAAATTACATCTAGTGGATATCCACGATGGTTTGCGTTCGCGCCTAGACTTTGATATATTTAGTGGATGTCCATGGGATATTAAATACACCTTAATGAAATTAATTTTAAATATCTGAACGGTACTACTAGCCACAATGGCGTAATTTTTTAATAATTTGCTATATAATTACTATTATTTATGGACATTTGCATGTTATAAATTACAGGTCATGGATATAAAATAGATATCCACCATGGACTGGACATTCAGTGGATATTGGGATATTCAGTAGATATCCAAAGGATTTGGTGTGCTGTCTGGGCCCAGACAACACACCAAATCCCAGAGATATCCACAGAATATCTTTTGTGGATATCCAATATATCCACAGGATATCAGAAATATTCCGTGGATCTAATATGGATATCCAAATGTCCGTCTATATCCAGAATATAGAAGATATCCTATGGATATTCAGCAAAATATCTAATTAGTATCTTCCAGACAATACAAGAAATCCCAGAGATATCCACAGAATATATTTTGTGGATATCCAACCAAATGTCCGTCAGAATTCAGATATTCAGCAAAATATTTTATAGGTATCTTTCATGATATAAAAAATAGAAGGTAGGATATCAACAGTGTCAAAAATAGGACGGCCACGCGCATGACGTCACGCGTAGAGTTTCTATAGGCGCGAATTTAAAAATACTGACGAAGTGTGAGGAAATTTCATGAATATTAAGGATACTATTTTAGAAATTAGATGAAATAACTATGTATATTATTATGGGATAGTTGTTAAGGAAAGAACTATGAAGGAATTAAATGCAAATACATACATAAAAGTAGTATTTATTTGAACAGTTTTTTTCCTTTTTCTTTTTTTAATGATTTATTTTGGTTATACAAATTGGACTTCTAAAGAATAGTTTTTATAACCAGGATAATGAAAAGGGTATCTACGCAACTCGAAACTGGGGATCTTGGTAACAATTTCGCATCTGGATGTGCCGGAAAATTTTACCTATATAAAATATAATGCAGACATTCATATAATATAATGTAAAGCATAAAAAAATGTATGAAATACAAATATCAGCTACATAACATATTGTGGGTGCATATACAAAATGAAAATAAAATGTCACTGCAATTTTCCAGTACATAGTCGCTGACAGTTTTTTAATTCATTCATCACGTAAAAGTAGAATTTTTTTTTTCGCGACATTTGTATTTTTTCTTTTGTTTATATTGCGAAATTTTTAGCCTTAGTCTCCAGTTTAGAAGTTCCAAGTTGGGAATGAACTAATGTGAAGTTCTGATTTGAGGTACCTCTTATAATTGGAAGGTTGAAAGTGTTTGGAATACATATGAAAATTTATCTGCAGGGTTACAAGCCACTGCAAGGGCTGCACCAATTTTCTTGGGAAGGAGGGTAGAATTGCCCCCCCCCGAGCCTCCGCTGGAGCCGCCCTTGGGCCACTCCTCACTTCTGACTAAGCTCTTACTGTCGAGGAAAGCGAAAAATCATAATATCTTTCTTGAATCCTTTGCTTTAATTGTTACTGTTACATCCATACCGCAAGTTTTCAATGTTTTTCACTAAAACCACTCACAGAGAACAAAGTTTACAACATAATATAATACAAATATCTGTTTAAATCACTATAAACGACTCACAAACTACTGCAACATGCGTCTGTCATATGATATTTATTTCGCGTCAACTCTACTAACTCTACGCATGACGTCAGCACCGCCATGACACCATGCGCGATATCCCCCCCTGGGTATCTTTAGTAGACATTCATAAGTAACCAAATGATTATTGAATAACGTCGAAAGAAAATGAAAATTGCCCACTAAGGAAAGAGTCATCCTTATTAGGACTCTTCAGCAATAAATGGAAATTCTCGACTCCAGTCTCTAATAGAGTCTTAATGCGAAATTTTTTTCGATCAACTCAATTATGGTGGGTTGAGCCTGAGTAGATACGAAAGTGGTATCGCCATCTATACTTAGGAAGCAAAATCAAAAATTACATCTAGTAGATATCCACGATGGTTTGCGTCCGCGCTAAGACTTTGATCGTTGTATGAAGATTATATAGTAGGATAATGCAACAGTAAAAAGTGTTGGACGCAATCTCGAGCGGCATCTAGTGACGATTTAATGAAGTAGTCAATTTTTAATCCTATGCAGATACGCCATCTACGTCTTCTTTTCGTTCAGGTATATGGCCTCTATTACCTACCTATTATAGTTAAAAACGTCTTTATTTATTTAAAAATAACAATTCATAATAAAAGATATGAAAAATTAAACATAATAATGAAAATTTATTCCAGTTGACAAAACCGTACAAATATAATTTTTGGATTAAGGTGATAAAAAGTGGTTAAGGACTTTGGTCAATATTTTGGTTATGTGCGGTTATGTCAAAATATATAAACAATAACAACTGATAACAATGTCCAATGTTTTAAATAAATTGAAAAGTTCCAAGTAGAATACAAAAAAGGAATAAGCTTCTGAAAATGTTGCATGTAATCTAAGTACCTCTAATTGGACTAAGTGTTGGAAAAGTTTATAACCATAAAAATAGCTGAATATTTTTATAGTTTTCAAAATTTGAACAAGCTTTGCTACAAAATTTTACTAAAGCTATCAACAGTTTGCAAGGTATTGAGTTAAGGAACAAGAAAATCACTAATCAGGGAAAAATCAATCAACAATGGAAAACAAATTAAAAAAAATAGTCACAGGGATATATTAGCGACTTCCAAATGTATCTTGGCTGTTGACCATGAATATAAGAAAAAATGTTCTCTCGGCTGGCTCTGAGTGTTGAAATAAATCACGTTGAAAGGAAGTTTTCAATAGCTCCGCTCTTTAGGAATAGCTCAAGACGAAATCGATAGACCTACAAGTGGTCTATCTGTGGCAGACATATTCAGTTAGTCTTTATATTTCATTATGCAATGTTACAAGGTTCAACAACTTGCCAAAATGGTGAAAATTTATTTCCAAAATCAGTGCTCTTATTTAGTACAGAATTCTACGAACGACACAATAATTATAAAGTCCTAACTTTGAACATAAAAGAAAATCTTATAAAAAACATTTTTTTTATAAATTATCACTGTTTGGAAAAGTATATTTGTTTGTAAATATTTGTATTTATAGTTATATTTAATCCAGGTTAAGTGTCAGTGCGGAGTGTAATGTTAAGTATGAACAAAATCCGCCCATTCTGTTTATACATTTGGTTACCGACCCTAGTAGATAGGCAATTTATTATTAGGTACTTTTAATTTAGATTTTGGATTAATGTTTTTGTATATGACTGGGCTGTTTAGTAATAAAGTCAAAACTGTAACAACTGGTTTTATTCTGGAAAGTATTTTTAAATTGAATCACGCACGCAGTTTGAGTGAAAATGTTTTAAGTAGTTCAAAAAACAATCACTATTTTTCATTGTTTATAGAATACAGCCTTTTAGTTAGCTCAGACCGGGGCTCAGACAAAACTGATTAAATAATATGTCTTATTATTTTTTGAATTTTTTTTATTTCGACTGGTTGACTATCTAAAAAATTAAAGCCAATCAAGCAAAACGTGAGTAACATTTCGCTTTTT